ACAAAGACGACATACTCATTAACATGCATATTGTGTTAGCATATGTGACTGGTTACGTTTCATAAAAAAATGTCACAAACTGAAATGAAATTCGCACGTAGCCTACGAGACTCATGTTACATTGTTACTCTCTTGTCTCCAAAGAGGGAAAAAATAAAACAAAAGCAAAAAAGCTCGTAACTCCGCTCTTTTGTATATTCAAGCGTACATACCAAGTATATTTCCCGATGGTTTCTAAGCTTTGTTGTGGTAGACAATGAAACTTGAGAGTCGATCAGCAAAAAATGAATGCTACCGAAGCGGCCATCTTGGAATGAGCTGCAGACGCTGTCAATGGCTCTAACGTTCCAACGCCGTGCTCATTGTGGCCTTCTTGCGCAATTGCACATAGGTTAACGTAGCTCACTCTTCGCCGACACTTTCCGATTTGATTCACAGATAAATCCACAGATTCCGCTCATAGATGGTATATTCCAGTAGCGTAGTTCTCCTGCACGGCGATCTGAAAACCTCACTGCCTGATGGTTCAGTGCAAACTGACACAGTCCCCAAAATGGCTTAGTTCGACCGCCCCACTCCATCACGTGATCCCATTCCTTACGGGTAGCCTGGGAATTAGTAGTGGGGTATGTCATCAATAGGGTACCCCTCTAACAGATGTCTTTGTCAAACCTCACCACCCACATCACCACTTGAAGAGGAAACCCCAAGCCACGCAGTTTGGTCGTAATGATTCTTAGACTATGAGCAATAAAGAACTTTTAGAGAAGCGGAATTTCTCTTTATTCTCACAAAAAAAATCGCATGTAGTGCTAAATGCCCTTGCAGAACAAGTAGAAGGGTTATTTTGAATAAGTCCAAATTAGGCTGCATTTAAAAATGGCATGATGCAAGTTAGGCAAGAGCAAGAGGAATCAATAGCCTAATCGCTCTAAATGCTTTCTCTATTTTTCAATTCACGTTGATTTTTATATTTTGCTCCCACGAAAGATTTACATTTGAATGGCCATGTTCCCGGAGCATTATCTTCTGCTGAATATATGCTTAGAAAATATTTGACTTCACAGACCGTTAATAGGCTACGGCCTTTGTAGCTTAGTGTAATTTAGCCTATATAAACCAGTAAAGCAAAATTTCAAAAATAGTCTCACATTTTACATTCCTAACGTTTGGGTTTTAGTTAGACCCTAATACTTCGAATGTAAAATCATTGGACCTGATAAGTAACATATAAAGCAGTTGCTTTTATTTACACTCACTTTAGAGGAAAAGGTGGTGATTCGAAATTTTACTCTGAATGTATGGATGGATATCTCAATAATTTGTTTCTAATGCCGTAGAAGAGGCAAATATGTATCCTTTACAGCAATATTTTGCCATAGGCCTATATACAATATGTAACATGTAGGCTACACTTAGGCTATAGAAGTCCCACTGAACTCGTGTCTCAAAAGAAACGAAAGGCGTTCTAAGCAAAGCCATGCTTTAGTAAATTACCGTTATGGCTACTTCATTTACCGGTCCCGACTTGACTGTTGGGTTTATACAGCTTTAGCCTACTTATTTTTTATTTTTCACTTTTGTGTTTACAAATTCCAGAGACCGTTCACAAACGTTTGCATTTACTTTGATAGCATTCCCTTAGTGTAACAGGTCAAGTTACATATAATTTTTCAATGATTAAATAATCAGTGAAATTGTGAGCTCGCGTTAGTGCGTGCTCTCGCGTGCATGTGTGGTAGGTCTGTGTTTTTCTCTGTCGCGCTGGACTGTAGGCTATAGTCTCCTCGTTCAGGGCACTGCGTTCAGCTGCAAACCACACGCGCACTCGGCCTGCCATGACGTCAGCTGCTCTAATACAGGCACTTCAGTGAAAACAAAGAAGCTCAGCATGCTGGCGGAAACCTGAAGCACTTTAGCGTTAAAACGTTACAGCTTCTTCGGTTTCCACATACGTTTCACACATAATCTATCGCTAGAATAAAAAAAATCAGGCCATTATCTCCGCGCATCAATCGAATTGGTCAAGGTACGCCAATTGTAATTTCAGCGACTTTGTCATTTTCTCACAAATATAGGCTACCTACCTATTTCTTTATTCCGACTACAGATGTGACTCAAATGGCCGTATCTCAGTACCGGGTGTTAATGCAGCACGGAATCTTGAGCAACAACTCGTGAGAGAGATAGCCTATAATGCCCTCCTCTTGCAAAAACTGTAAAGTTATTGACAACTCCATAGCTTCTATGCATCATGGGAAACTATTCCAATATTAATTAAATTTGTGAAGAACAAATGCTTTGCTCGGTTCCTTGCGTGATTAAGCAGGAAATGTTGACCCGAATTTTATTTACGAACCGATAGGCTACATTACCATTTTAAAACGCGGGCTCTTTTGTCTGGTCATTAATTGTTCGATCTTTCTTAAAAGCTTATGAAGACAATTAAAAGCGATTATAATAAATCATAAAATAAAAAATATATAAACGGCAAATAAAACTAGAAGATCTCTCAAAAATGACCATGCTCGGTGACTTCGTTTCCTCTTTTGTCTAATGACTCTATTGATTATTGATTGTTTACAGATCCCACAAAATTGATTTGTGGACTGAATGGGAGCTGGAGGTCAGGACTTACAGATAAAACCGCTTTGAGTTTGTATTTATGTCTTTGATGGTCTAAATCGAATGATGACGATTTCATGAATGGACATGAATATTGTTCTATTATGATATTAAGCTAAGCACACGAATGAAACAATGGGCAGACAAAAAAGGTCAGATATCAGTATATGTTAATATTACTGGTTTAATAATTCATAGAAATGTAACTTGAAATTTATTGCCGGGTGTGTCAAAGTCAATGAGCTTGTTTGCATTTTTCCCTTGTATATAAACCACCTCTCCGCGTACCGCTCACTAGTCATTTTTTTCAGTGCTAAGACATTAATGAATTATTTTTATTTATCTGAATGACGTGTGCCTTATCCTATCAGCTCAACATGTATTTAAGTACTCTGCTCGTAAATAATACATTTTCCCCTTGCTTTTCGATACTGCCATTCTGTTTAGAAAGAAAAAAAAATTAAATATAATTGATCAAATTTGTTAGGCCTACATGGGATTGACTAAATGGGGTGGAAAAAATGTTCCCAGGCCAACCTTCCAAGTGTAGAATTAGGACGTGTAATAGGTTTGTAATTATGATGCATTTAAAATATATATATCAATCTGTAGGCCTAACTGTTAACAGATCGCCAAAATTAACCACAATGTGCTATGGCCAGTAATCTAGAGAAAATATATATTTTTTATTTCCTATTTATTTAGAAACGATAATTATATGGCTTTTGCGCTTTATTGATTTATTTAGCATTTTAGGAAGACTAGGTGGTGGTTGCCATGCTTAGATTAATATAGACTTTTTTTGTAGGCTATGCCTACATTGCAGCAATATTCCTAGACCTAGAATGTTATTCTTTGTTTTAATTGCTGCACAGTTAACAAAATGAAAGCCCATGCAGCAGCACTTTCTTCGTCACAGCTTGCGTCCCTAAAGTTTGTTTGTGTCAAATCAAGGACAAGAGTTTAACAAACAAAGAAAATGGCTAAATGAACGATTTTCCATTAAAAGACAATGGGGACGTAAACTTTGTTTCAGAATTCCGTTGTTAAGGCCAACCCGTTGACATGGATTTCACCAAACCCAACGACGCCCTCATGAGTTTCTCAAATACAGAAGTGTAAATGGGATTCTTCTTCTTTTTCTTCTAATTTTTCTTTTTTAAAGTTTTCTCAAAAGAATGTCACAGAATTAAACATGCATAATTAAGCATGTTTGCATATGTCCTAAAATGCAACTTCGCTGACGACCAAATCAAAGCTATAAAACAATTAGGTTAACCTCCGTTAATAATATATATATATATATATGATAAAATAAAACTCATATATAAATTATAGAAAAAAATAAGATATTTTTTTCCAAGACTTGTATTTATTGTAGGCCTAGGTCATATGTAGGCTATGTGACCACCGCAAATGGCTGATACAATTAAATCTACTTAGATATTTAATTATGATTATTTCGTAGGCCCGCATTTTAATAGTAGATTTGGTTTAGTTCTCCCTCTTTTAAAGATAGGAAGTAGGCTGACTGTGAGCTTTCTCTATCTAGCTATACCTTATAACATCTCAGATGTTTTGACTGTCTGATCTTTTAATATTTTCACTCATGTATTTTCTTTGTCACAAAAACAAACTTTGCCGAGAAAAACCCATTAGGCGCTATCATGTATTGAACCATGCTTAATGTTTAGCCACCACTGGATTGTTCATTCGAATATTATAGGCCTATTGCTGCCAGACAGTTTTAATCAAATGGACTTTTATCTGAACTTCATGGAACATGCTGTTGTTTCCGAAAAGAATCGGGACTAATGTAGCCCTGGTTATGTGACCATCTCTTTAGACTGCAACAGATTACAGAGACGGCCGATGAATGGTTGAAAATGTTTAAATGGAATGTCAATGTAGCAAAATTGACGAAAGATGAAAAGGAGATTATTAGGCTTTGGCTATTAATAGTAAGAGAACAACAACGCTACATGGGAGGAATCATTTTGAGCTCTCTCCAATCAAATTAGTTTTTATTTTTAGCTTTCATCACTTCTTTTATAATTAGAGATTAAACAAAGAAAAAGACAACAGATGTCATTACAGATGTGGAAAAGGGCTGTAACGAGGCCAAATTATCTTAATTTGAGAAAAATGTTAAGCATCTACCAGTAGGCCTACACGTAATGCTCACTTGATTTATAGTATTATTAAATATAATCGATTCCGCTAAAACCGAGGTGCCAGGAGTCCTGGAAGTCTCCTGCTAAGGGTGTACACACGACGCACCAGCATTACTGAAGCTTTCATGCTTATTGGCTCGTGCTGTGGCGGCTGCATGTGAAACGTGTGTAACGTTACGTAGAGCAGGCTGAGCTCAAGCAATGGGCCCGTTTGAGCCAAAGGACGGGAAGTTATGCTAAAGTGGCCTCAAAACCAAGATTGTCCGTATGGGCAGTAGGTAAGACTTGGAGCTTTTCGACCTAGTGGAGGAAATCCCACAAACCTTCTATGAGTTCCTGTCGGTTAATCAGGTAAGACCAATTTGATGTACTTCGCAAATTTTCACGCGCGCCTTTAACTCTGGCCATTCAAACGGTGTCGGTAATTGTGATATGCATTTAACTTTAACATATAGCAGCGCTGACTAAGATTTATCGCAGGGTCGCCTCCAGTGCGTTCGTTTACAGGATTGCATTCGTATCAAAGCAACTCGATCCGTTAGCTGAATATCTTTCTTCAGCCCCACTATTATGTCTCCCGACTCAGGGAAGCGGTAAACGGACTCTGCTTCCTACAGAACCTGGACGGCGGTGGCCATTGACAAGAAACCTCCCGGCTGTGGGCCTGTACAACACAACACGACGGGTCATTACTTGGCTCATAAACAGATGTCTTATCATTCTGCTGTATTTTCGCCATTCGGTTGCTAAGTGATATTTGATGCATCGAAGAACCCTTGCTTTTATCAGCATAACCGCTGTTAGTAAAAAAAACTGGCATTTGATTTTACTAAAGCGTCGACCGTGATTCAGGCATATGGGCATATAACGTTACCTTAAAGAAGATTCAGGTATATAACTTGCAGAAATTTGCTGTCAATGCATTTCAGAAGAAATGCTAATTCTGTGCTAAAAAGATTGTAGCTCTGTTTTGGAACATGCTAACTAGTATCCAGCCGGTCTCAGATGGTTGTTAGCTAGTCCAGGCTGGTAAACCAGCTACTGTGCTCCAGAAGCCAGCTTAACCACACTGGTATGATCTGCTGGTATCTGGTTTGTTACTAAAGCAAAATGGTCTCCCAGTTACAGCTGCCAATATGTTTATAGTAAGCTTTTATTGCTAACTGTTATTTGATTTTGCCTGAAATGCCACAGGCAGTCTGATCACACAGTCTTTGCTACAAAAACATTTTTATTTTTAAACATACTGCAGGGTAGTCTCAGAATATATGCATTCCTGACATTCTGTCAGTATTGGCAGTAAGTGTTTATGATGTTTATGTTCTTGATTCTGTTTCTAACAGGATGCATCCTCATCTGAGATCAGGAAGGCATATAGAAAGCTCTCTCTTACATTACACCCCGATAAAAACAAAGATGAAAATGCAGAAAACCAATTTCGACAGGTAGGTGTTTTGTTAAGCTTTAATGAAAGTTCTCTTTGGCTTAATGTAGATCATGTTAATTGTTGCTCCTATACCTTACTCTGGAATTCTGTGTATTACAATTGAAATATCTTCTCTGTCATCTCTTACTAGTTAGTTGCCATCTACGAAGTCCTCAAGGATGAGGAAAGAAGACAAAGGTGAGGTGTTCTCATGATTTGCTTGTGGACTTTATTTTTTATTTTTTATTAATCCTAGACCAGCTGTTTTCAACCTTTTTGCCTTGAAAGCATACCGTTGTCCAACACAATATTTGAAGATATTTCCTCTGATATTTCTGCTGTAATTTTCACATAATTTAAGATTCTGTTTTTTTTTAATAAAAAAAATTGTTATTGGGATTTGTTGTATGTATGTATGTATTATTATTGTTATTATTATCATCAGCATTATTTATCATTTTAAGGTTAGTTTTTCAATACAGGTCATTTGAAGTTGTCCTGTGGCATCCTTGAATGTTGCTGAGGCCTCCTGGTTAAGCACCACTATCCTAGTATAGCAGTGAAAAGTGCTCCTAGAGGTTCTTAAATAAGGATGAAATAGGAGCTTTAATAATTTATTGACATTATGCCATTGAGTAAGATCCCTAACCACTGTTTGTACCAGTGGGGTATAGACTAGGGTCTATGAACTGTATATTACAATTGCTAAAGTCTTTCAACAATAGTTTCTTACTACATTCACAGATATGATGACATCCTGGTTAATGGGCTGCCGGACTGGAGGCAGCCTGTCTTCTACTATCGACGCGTTAGGAAGATGAGTAATGGAGAGTTGGGCTTCCTCCTCTTCCTCATTCTGACAGTGGGTCACTATGCAGTTATATGGTCCATCTACCTTGAGAAGCAGTTGGTAAGTGTTGAATTGTTGTATAGCACAGTTGTTGTCTTGTAATGCCAGCCTCTGTATAGTCTCACCTAGCCAGACCTTCAGACTGACGGCAGAAGGTCTGGATCCCATAGAAACCTTCACTGGCCAAGAGGACATCTGACCAACAAGTAGAGCAGCCACAGTTTGTATGGTTTAGCTGCGATGTCCCTACAGTAACAGACTGGCATGCAAATAATTCAAGAACTTTGTGTAGGTTTACTGCAACAACAGTGCTGCGAATTCCCCATAATTTTTAAAGTCCAGCATTTAGTTGATCCTGATGAGCGCTCATTGTCAAAGTTATAAACATGACAGCTTTCTTCTTCCATAAGAGGGTTTGGCATCACAACAGCTTTGTTTCCAGCCAGACTGTTAAAGAACACGACACATGTCTCCTGGAAATCCTGTAGAATTCAACTAATTAGATGACGACTTTGAAAATCCCAAAGTGTTTCCCATTTTGTGTGCCATATGCATTAGACGTTCAGCCAGCGGTCCATGGGGGTGACGTCTGAGGCTGAGACTAGCTTCTGTAGTACTAAATGTACTTTCCCAGTGATAATTGCTATGTCTTAATTCTTCCCAGGATGAACTTCTGAGCAGGAAGAAGAGAGAGAAGAAAAAGAAGCAAAGCAGTAAGATGACAGATGAGATTAAGTCCTTGGCACAGGACAAAAATGAGAGGTAATCTAATAACCAAGGTTTCTGTGGGACTTCGTCTAAATTCACCCTTTCATAAATTAAGGCCTTAAAATAGATAAATATATAAGGTGAAGAAACCTAAAGTGGAGTTTCCAGTCTATGAACCCAATACAAATGCAGCTTTTGTGCCAGTGTATGATCAGGGAACGTCTATTGATGATATTGAGGATCAAATGGATTACTGGTTAGAAGACAAAAAACAGCAGAAGACGAAAGTAGGTTTTTGTCTCTGTTCAAAGGACCTTGATTTAAACTGAAAGTATTGCATTAACCAATGGCTGGTGATGATCGTAGACTCAAGAGTGGACAGAGGAGGATCTCAGCCAGCTTTCCCGCTGCATGGCCAAGTTTCCTGGTGGAATGCCGGGCTGGTGGGAGAAGATTGCTCACGAGTTAGGCAGATCAGTGACTGAGGTAAATCTGTAATTAGTTCAGTTATGACTAGTGCTCGACCCATAGCAGCTATAATGCTGATGAATATATCAAACTTATGTAATGATGGAAATTGCATGATTTAATTTATAAAGTGTATTACTTTTTTAACATTTAATCATATCATTTTTTTTTTACTTTTTTAACATTTAATCATATATACACAGAGCCGTCACAGTGCCAGACAGTCTGATGACCCAGCGAGAGGAGCCCTTAGAGCAGCAGCTGGAGGATTCAGCAGAGCCTGCTGGGGCAGAGGACTCTGAGAGCAAAGCGCTCAGAAGACGGACAAAAAAGTCTGCGGCCGGGAGCGCTGGAACCGGAGAAGCGGAGGAGAGGATGAAAGGACGCAGACAAAGAGACTTCGACCCCACAGCTGTAGATGACGACAGTGAAGATGAGAAGAAACCATCAGCCTCCAAAGAAAAACCCAGTGCTGCTGAAGATGTCTGGACACAGAACCAGCAGAAGCTCTTGGAGCTGGCCTTACAGCAATTCCCATGTGGCACCACTGAACGCTGGGACAAGATTGCTAAGGTGGTGCCTGGAAAAACCAAGGTGAGCATCAACTTTCTCACCCACAGTCATTGGAAAATTTATTTGAACTGACATTTAGCTGCATATAAAAGCTGGATTTCATGTTAGTTAATGAGTTGATTCTCTTTAACCTATTTAGGAGGAGTGCATGTCCCGTTATAAACTGCTGACGGAGCTGATTCAGAAACGGAAGCAGGCCAAGAGCTGACTCCTGGTCTTCAGTATTTCACCGTACCTCTCACCTGCTTGTTATGTGCCTTAATGCAACCCTACGTCCTTTTGTCAGACTTTGTGCCACGTTCACCAGAGCCTGACTCGTCAGCATTTAATCATTGGAGAGATCCCAACCGCACATTTAAATAAGGTTTTATTTATTTTAAAATCTGTTTCAGATTGTAGACTTGTTATTTTTTGTTTCTCTATGCAACCAGACAGTCTGAGAAGCAGAAGGCACATTTTAATGTTTTTTTCCCCAATTCTGAAACATTGTTTTTCAGAAGCACAATGTGTTGTGCTGTAATCTGTTTTGGTCATGTGTTATAACATAAAGTTATTTGCATACAACATGTAATGTGTCATAGTTTCTCTTGTGGTCATTACTGTGCTTCAGCACATATTGGCTCATACATTTTGAAGAACATGACACTGTCATCATATGTTCCATTCTGTAGATTTAAATTAAACCAAGTGATTTTCGAAGATGTTTACACAATGTTGTGCTTCCTGTATGCAGTAAAACAATTTTGATATGCATTTTATTTAGTTCTTGGTATAGGTGCAATTTGCGAGATTTTCTTTTGAAAGGATTACCCTTATTATCAACATACACCAAATGACATTTGATGGTTTTGAATCTGACTTTCTCAAACAACTACAGATAAGTGGAATTACTTTGTCTATAAAGTAAACTGATAAAAGTATTAAAGTTTCACCAAATTTCAAGTTAATTTTATTTGCAGCAGCATTCTAAATATACCTACGGCTTAATATTTCTAAGGGCTATTTCAATAATGCATTGTTTCAGAGTCTAAGGTTTAAGTGGAGTAGGAAGATGAGGCCAGAGAATGGATGAAAAAATTAACCCCATTACAAAAGGGAAAGAGGTACATGCTTTATTATATTAGTTTTCAGAGGTTTTTAAATCAATCTAAAATGGTCAAATATTGCAATTAAAAACGCAATTTCAATAGTTGCATTTTCATGTTATTTCCTGTGTCAGTGATAATGACATGTAGAGTTTATTTTATTTTAAAATTTTATTTTTTTAAAACACTTTCCAGCCTGTTGAGGACAGTTTGATTTATTATCAGGACACAATATGAAAAGATGTGTGACTGAGAGAAAATGCAGCTACTTCACACCAGCCATTAATTGTTTTGCTTTGTTGGCACAGGTTTACCAACCCGACAGGACAGATTTTCAACTCCGTTCAAACCTCTTAAAGGGATAGTTCACCCAAAAATGAAAATTTTATGTTTATCCATTTACTCACCCTCATATCATTGGTCATATCATATGATCAGATCATATATCGTTTGGGTTTCCATTGACTTCCAGCATATTTTATGTCAAGTCAATTGAAGTCAATGGAAACGGAAACTGTTTGGTCACCAACATATCTTCTTTAAAGGATTAGTTCACTTCTAGAATAAAAAAAAAATTACCTACAATGACTGTGCACTGTGTAAACAATGAGTAACGTATACGTGCGAGAGATCACTTGCGTAAACTACGCCAGAGTGCATACACACCTCACGCACCGGATGCCATTTGCGCGCTCAAAGCAGTTGGACATAGTGGTGTATTAGAGGTAAAATATGATATAAATACTGTTCGGTTTCTGGCACAAACCGATCGTTTCGTGTCTTAGGACATCAATGTGTTGTCACGGGCCACAGGGTTTAATTTGGATTTGTCTGCATGTTTTCTTTACTCTCATAGATTTTGTTACCATTGCCATGCATTATACGACTGATAGACTGCAACGGTGGGAGTTAAAAATCTCTGTTTGTGTTCTACTGAAGAAACAAAGTCACCTACATCTTGGATGCCCTGGGGGGGGCAAGCAGATAAACATCAAATTTTCATTTTTGGGTGAACTATCCCTTTAATGTCACAAACACATGGCTTCCATTCACACAGCTATATATGGTGTTGGTCTATAAGTGATTTAAGACCTGAGTGTCATTAATGGAAGTTTCATATTTTGTAAAATTAAACGCTTACTTTAATGTGGTGATAATCTACAGGGAACTACAGGGAATATTAGAACAAATAAAGTAAACAGGAGAAAGAGGGGCATTTAAATCAATAAAACATGGTGTTATTCATCATTTGCAATCTACTTCAGATGTTACAGTGTGCTGTTTACCTTGGAATGATGGTCCAAAGCCTATAGGAAAATATCCTCAATGTCTTTAACCCTATAAAGCCTACTGTATCATATATTTGATACGTTAATTTCTAATGCCTCTAAACTTTGCTGAAAAAAAAACTGTTGTAGGCTACTCAATACAACATTCTGCCCTGTGACTGATAGTTTTTAGCAAGTAAAAAACATTTAACTATAATTCTAAAAACACCCCCTCCTGGTCATAATACATAGGCTATATCTTTTTGTTGTGAAATCTTACTGATTATTATAAACTAAACGTAAGAATAACTATATTGCTAGTTATAATAAAGATGTCATTGACTTACATTACAAACAATCAGAATTTCATCTTACTTTTTGGCATAACAACACCTGAACCAAATTATTTCTGTTTGGGCCTCTGAATATGTACTAGATGTGTTTTTCCGAGCCATAAAAGCCTGATGTATCAAATACGACACATAATCTAC